GCGTTCGTTGTTTGTGGCATTCATTTCATCGCTCGTGTTGAGCGTAACAAATTGTTGTACCATGTTCAATGGTTTCAATAGTTCATCATCACGAACGATTTGCATGTATGAACACAGCCATGAAGCGGCACACACTGAGTATGTACAAAGTCTGCTTTTGATATTATCCAAGTGGACGATAACATCGGCCGCTGAAATGGTATCATTTTCCCAAGCGACTAACAATTGATACAGTACACCCGGTAAGATCAAGCAGATTTCATGCCATTTCAGATTCGGTATTTTTGCCATTGAGCCATCGTTTGAGCTGATGCTCGTCAGAAACTCATCCACTTTGCTTTGTTCACACTGATGCACCATGTTCATGGCGGATTTGTTTCGATTTTTCTCAATCATGAAATCACGCACCCATTTTTCAAAGAATGTATCACCGTTTCCGTCGAGCACAACATGCGATCCGTATGTTTGTACGATGAATGTCAACATAAGTGCTCATATATGATCTAATTCATCAAAATTTGGACTCAGAATTTTTAAATTCGAAACTGATATGGAATAACAGTAGGCCAACTCGAAACACAGAACTATTAAAATTACCGACATACGCGAGTGGATATTTGCAAAATCAGCCCTTTTGGTCAGCAGTTAGACAGTTTAATGAAAGAAAATCAGAATATGTAAATAGTGTAGAAAGAGATAAATATGTAAAAGCAATTAAAGATAAGCGACAATTGTAAAGGATCTGTATTAGATCAATAACTAATAAATAAGTAATAAATAAGAAACCAGTCACACCACACGCTCTATATTGACAATATATTTTTTTTAAACCTTCATTTTGATACGCCACTAACATAATTTACACTCAAGTATCTACTTTGTGCATAAAACGCCATTTAATGTGCTGCCATCTTGCGTATCACTCACGGAAACTTAGTACTCTCAGATTGGACCAAGCATCGGTTCGGGCATAGAAATATGTTTACCTAGATGTTCTATACTGCATAAATATGCCGAGCATAGACGCGTACGGACGACCGTGCGACGAACGTATCACCAGAGCCATCGTTGTTTGCTGTGTATTGTATTCATACGGGCCGACCGTGCATTGCGAGACGCACGCGTTAGTGTGTGTATGAATACACAGCAAACAACGATGGCTCTGGTGATACGTTCGTCGCACGGTCGTCCGTACGCATCTATGCTCAGCATATTTATCTTGCATAGAAATATGCCCGAACCGATGCTTGGATTGGACAAAACGACGAGCATGTGGAGTGACTGTAAGAAACGTTACATCGAACAGTGCCGATCGATTCACTGCGGTATTATTCACTTCACCACCCACTTGCCTCGATTTCTCATTCCATCGAATCATGCGCGATACGAATGTCTTTAGTTGACCTTCCATTGTCGCTACGGATAGTATCAGCTCAAAATTATTACCCGAGAGTAGCTCACACAACATGCCCAACATGCCCGGCTCTTGCATCTTATTATACTCATTGTCCAGCGCTTTGAGTATCCCATTCAGTGGCGCTTCAGCCTTCTTCAGGTGCTGAATTATCGACGATGGCTGATGATTCAAGTCCATTTTCGACAGTGACACCATGACTGGATCACGTTGAGATGCAAACTGTTGCACATGCTGTGAATTGATTAGGTTATGCTTGTTGAGTTCCTTGAGCAAATACTCAATCGTGTTGCAACCACAAGTCGTGTCTAGGTAATCCAATGTTGGATCGTCAATTAGTGTATCTAGTGCTTTTACCACATCCGGTGAATATTCCGCAGGTTGCATTTCTAAATAGGAAATAGTGCAATTATAACGACGCTAGATGCATGCTTATACTTACGAATTGATTGATCTTTGAATTCGATCTTCAATGGGAAATGGATTTGAAAAAACTTTGAATGGAAGACGATGATGAAAATCGTCTGAATTGGCTTTACGCACCAACATATCCCTACTTCAATGATGACTTACCACTTATCGAAATCAACTGGATTTGGTTCGATTCTGAGAGATTTGACACGGTTTTTTTGCGGTTTTCGTGGAAATGATAAGAGATAGGAGATAACTGTCTTAAGCTAAGTTATAGAAGACCTTGAGTACTACAACTTTGTTTAAGATACCATGTTGTTATCTCTTATCAATTGCGCGAGAACCGTGAAAACCGCGGAGGCTAAACGGTCCTACAACATACTCTACTTTAACGCCAACAGAATCATCAGAAAACATACTCGCCTTTTCAAAAATATAAATCGAGGAAAAAACATACTCCACTCTCAATCTCAACCATAGATATGATAAACTGAAAATAAAAACTGTTTTGGGTTTGACGGCAACAGCCACGATCTCAACAAGGTATCTCTTTCGCTAGCTTTTTTGTGAAATTTTCGATTTATTTTCGAACGAACTGATTTTGATCAATCACTTTTTAGACTTAGCATTGTGGAACATATACGGATTCCAGATGGTTTAGATGGTGTTATTAGTGATATTCCACTGCCGGATAATTTAACGCTAACCATTTCATGCGATGATAATCGTGATATTGCCTTGATACAACTGCTCAAAGAGCCCCGATTTGTTGAATACCAATCGATCATTATTTATTGCTCACGACGTGATGAATGCGAACGAGTGGCAAAGAATTTGAG